CCCGAAAAGGGGTTTTTGCCCAACATTTCGGCTAAATATTTAAATGGCCTGGCCATTATGAAAATTTATCGATTTAGTGACAGTTTAAGGACACACATTATGGCCGGCCATTTGTTATGTTTTTATGGTTTCGTCGTATGCCTGCTGCTAATGTCAATTTTTGAGTGTCGTTGCCACATTAAATTCTGCGGCATCTGGCTTACAAAAAGTCTCGAGTCGGTGCAGAAAGGTGACTTTATTTTATAATTCATTTTATCATTATGATGTAAGAGTGCGGTGCGCACAGCAATTACAAGGGAGTGAGTGATTAGGGGGGTCTGTGGGGATCATAAAAATATTCCTTCCTTTGTGCTCCACCACTTTTTTCGGGAGGCTGGGTTTTTCTTTTCATACAAATTCAAACATAAAATGCGCATAAAAATGCGCGGGGCGGAGGAAAGCGCATGAAATAATCAACAGTAACAATGGCGAGGAAAAGTGAAATTCTGGAGCTGGAGCAATGCTGCCACTCCAGTTGACAACAGCCAAGTGTGTGTGCACTGGAAATAAAGGATACTTTCAGAAAACCACTTCCTAATACTTAAGTCGATTTGCCAATAGAAATAAAAAATGTCCTATATTCATTATTCAGATTATTCAGCGTGGAACGAGACCAATCATTTTATAATTCGATTAAGAGCACATAGTCCTAGCCGCCCATTGGTCGATACCTGTCAGCTCAGATTTCTACACTATCCCTGTGCAGTATCCTTGAAGGATAATGAAAAGTATAATCAACATTTTTTGCCGTGTGCGTGTGTGAGTGACGTCTCAACTTGGCTCAGCTTGGCCGATGACTGGGATGTCCTAATGGTCTTTTGCCTCCTGTAACTGACTGATGTTTGGCACACACACACTTCCACAACCTCACACTCGCCCAGCGACGCCATAATTAATGATGAAAAATTGCTACCCACACACATGCAGAGGAAAGGGCACACACACAGTCGGACACTCAACATATGCAAGGGCAGCAGGAGAAGGGAGGGCGGACGGGTGAAAATATAAAGCCATTTGGTTTGTACGATGGAAATTAACATGAAAAGGGCAAAGCGCAGCTGCCATTCGCGTATGGCCGAATATGTGAGATCGGTCCAGAATCCGCCACCTCCAGTTCCCAACACCCAACACCCAACCCCCAATCCCCAAAAACCCCCCACATGCAAGTGGTCAATGCCAGAAGGTCGGCGGAAAACAAGGAAAAAACCCTTGGAAAAAACACCACCACCCCGCTGGAACACATAAAGTGGCGCACTAAAGCTGCGAGCTCGGCAAAGTGATTAAATTGAGTTAATTATGTCCACCGAGAGTGAGTGTGTTAGAGCAAGACAAATACGAGTTTGAAGTTGTACATAAATTATTACAAGGATATTAAATGCGGCGCACAAAACAGGGGAATTACCCGAGTATTAAGTGCATATTATCAGAGGCCGTTAAATGCGGCAAATAAAACATTTCGCCTGCGTGAAATTGCTTTAATCAACCCTTAATCTTCATTACAAAACACACTTTGTCTTTGTTAAGTCTTTGCAAAGTTCTTTTTTGCCGCCGAAAATATTTCTCATTTAAAATGAGCATTTGGCCATTATGGAATGAGTTGCCACTTCGATTCAGCTAAGTCGCGTACAAATTTGCCTTACGAAATCGAACTTCTATCAAAGTTTATCAAAGCCAAAACATTTAATGGTTGTGCCAAAGGCTTCCGCCATTTTTTGTTCAGCTTATCCCTTTGGACCAGCCCGCTTTTTATTTGTGTATGTTTTTAGTGTATACTTGTATTTTGCAGGAGTGTGTGTGGTGGCCCGGCTCTTATCTAAAAACCCGTTAAATTTATTATGCAACATTGCGCGCGGGTGGAAAATGCGATTTCTCATTCGATACAGATTCAGGTAAACATTCGCCGTGTGTGTCCGGCAAATAAATAAAAGCGAGCATTTTCTGCTGGCGCGTGTAGCGCCAAATAAAAACAGAAAAACATTAACAAGCGGCGGCGAAAAAAATTTAACTTAATTGCCAAACACACACACTCAAACAAACGCACACGCACACACAGAGGGTGATGCTGTGGCTGTGTTTTCCGCGGGGGGTTTTCCGGGCGGGCGGGGTCGGAAAATGGGGGCGGAGCTTTCTGCTGTTGGCGTGCGTGCGCCGTGCGATATAATTTATGTTTCAATAACTTTCGAAACTCATTGAAAAGTCGCTTATGTTTGCTTCAATGGCAGCAGCAGCAACAAAAACAGCAGCAAAAACAGCAACAGCAACACAAGAAGAATGCTAAAAGTACAACAATAAATTGTTTGGATTTACTTATGCGCAGGAGGGGGTGGGCAAGTGGGTGGCTGGGTGGCTGGGTGCCGAGTTTTTCTTAGCCCATTTCCCATTTTACTCCATTTCTTTTTTTTGCTGCACTTGAGCGACCCCGCTTTGTCTTCTCACCCGCAAGAAGAAAATTCCCGCTCAACTTGCAAAAGTTTTTCGCTATTTTCCCTCTCATTCTTTTTCTGTGAATGTGTTTTGTTTGCCATTTGCTTTCATTTTGTTTTTCCCGGGCTATTGCCTTCTTTTTAGGATTTTCCACCCCGCTCGCCGCCAACCATCTGCCACTGTTGTTCATTTTATGCTCTTAAAATTTATTTGCAAGTTTTCTAATTTGTACTTCACTCCATTTTATTGTAATATACAATCTCATTTGAAGTGAGATATCTCAGGACATCTATCTAACGCAGAAAAATGTATGAGGACCGAAGCGAAAGGGATGTTTACAGAGAACGAAATTAATTTAGGCGAATTTAATCAAATTGGTTTGCAATATATATTGTTTCAGACATTTATAATCCCTTTCGAAGCAGTAAAGTTAAACATAATAGAAATGCTGTGGGTATATATTTCATAAATAGCCCTATTCCGTTCGCTCTTCTCTACAGCCTTTTTGCGCCGTGTAAGCAGTTAGTGGAGGTGGCCTATAAGTATGCAATGCCTTCTGATGGCTGATCCTGGTGGCGTATCCTTGTTTCCTGTTTCGGAACCGGGGCGCATATTTATTAACCACACTGTTGACTCTCGCTGCGGCAACTTTGCGTGCAGCTTGTTGCTCCTCTGGCACTTTGGCCCCTTCCGCCCTCTTTATCCTGCCCCTTCTGTCTTCCGGTTTTGAATTTTGTTGTCGCACCTTCTCAGGAATTCTGTTTACATTTATTACTTTGCGCAAGTTTAAGTGAAAAATTTCCATAAACATTCTTTTAAGCGACATAAAGTTTTTATTAAATTTTGCTAGAAATCCCTGACACGATGATATCAGGCAACACAACGGCAACTCAACGGCAACGGCAACGGCAAGGGCAACGGCAACAAATAGAGCTGCGGAATTTACAACTACCAGAGGGTAGAACACCTGCCACCCCGAGCTGCCGCTCTTCAAGATACTTTTCGGAGGGGCGGAAGGGGCGAAGTGCCAACTGTTTTACTGTTGGCAGTACGAGATACTGCTCCGGCTTCTGCTGCACGCAGTTCATAAAAATTTTGCCAGCCAACATGACATGCACAAAGGCGAAAGGACACACGGCGCCTGATCCTGTGAGTGGAAGGGAGTCGGGGGGAGTGGCAAAGTTAGAAGGAGAAATGCAGGAAGGTGGCATAAACTTTCGTCGCTTGTTAACCTGAAAGCTTCGCCGCCACTCCACCGACATTAGATGAAATTCAATTAAAACAAAGATATATTTCGTTGGACAAATTCCAGCAGCAGTTGCTTAAACCGGGCGAAAAAGTGCTCTAAAAAAGGAAAGGACTTTCGCGCATTGTGTATACGCCCCATAAAACGCTTAATTAGTGCAAAGGGAAAGCGGAACATAAACACTTGCTTGTTGGACGTTCTTAAACTTTCTTTGTAGAGAATGGAAATGGAGTCTGCATAACTTTTGCAAAAAGTGTTCAGTTTTAATTAAATAAGGCAGAGGCAAATTCCTAATATTCTTAAAATACAACTAGGTTTAAAATAATATGTTAATATGTGAGCTCAGTTAAGAATCTTTTAAATTAGTTGAATATTAACTAAACATATCTTATATTTCATTTGGTGTATATCAAAATTGAAATGGACTCGTTTAAATGCCATCTCATTATTCATACTGTCCGCAAAAACCAGCTAATTTACGTTAAGCATTTTTAAATAAGGTCAAAGTACAGGACTGGCCGGGGGATTCCAGGGGTATTGGCCACGTTCAGCCAACTGGAAGTTGATCGAAACCGCAACAAATGACAAACGTTACGGCAAAAGTACACAACACGGAAATACCCACACATGTGCAGAGGAAAAGAGAAAAGCCAGAGTACTAGGTAGAGGAGTAACTCGGAGGAAAAAATAAAATCAATGAAAATGAAAACCAATTAGCGGTTAACCAAACTGTTCAAATTTGGAAATGGATGCAGCCGTGCATGGCCATAAACAACAACGCCAACAAAGATGGCACAATCGCACAGGGTTGGCAGATGACTGATAGAGGGGTCAACAGCAGTCGGGCAAGGCTGAAAGGTAAAAGGTTGCCGGGTTACAAATTTATTACACGAAAATAGGAAATAATTAAAATCAGTTTGAGCGCAGATAACGTTTCGCTTGGAATGGGGTCTGCCCCATTTTGATTGATAAATCAGAAGTCACGGCCAAACGCGCGGTGAAAATGAAAACATTACGGAAAAGCTGCAAGGATATGAAATAAAAATCAAAAGAATCCTTTCAATAAGTAAACGATGACTAGGTAAACGTTTTTCCAGCCTAACGAATCCAAACGTGGATATTTTATCATTGTTTATCCTATATCTGCAATCACATTTCCTACAGAAAAGAAAACCCTTCTATGCACATATTGTATTTCTCAAATACATTGCGATTGACCACAGATAACTCCCTTATAAGTCCCAAAAAATGCACCCCACTTCGGACACAATCCTTCTAAGGACCCACTCACCTGGATCTGCGCGTCGTGGGATCCTTCATGACCATAGCCTCTGAGATATCACCATAACGTCCGAAGTAATCGCGTAAGCTCTCTGAAAGGAAAACAAGCAAATGCAGTGAATAATCAATCAAAGCAGGTTTATGAAATGTCCTGGGGTTACACCCAAGTACGGCCATCAAAATCACGACGCCAAAGTTACTAATTTCGTTACGCGCTAAATAAAAATAAACCGAAAGCAAATATAAAAAAAGGGAAAATGAATTTCGCGCGATGCCCAAATAAACAAACTGGTTGGACCCTAAACTTCTTCTCACTCCTGTCAGAGGATCTCCCTGAATAACGGCCCTTTCCCCTTTCTTCCTTTGCGTACGCAACTGGACATTATTCACATGCATACTCGCAGAGTACACTCGAAAAACTCCTGAGTGACTCCGCAACTAAATTTAAATTGATAATTGTTAATATAGACAATAATTAAAAGCTATATCTTATTCTGCTGCTTGGACTTTTTGAAGCTCAATGTATTCCTAACTTGCTAATAAAAACTTGTGTAATAAAAATAAATATCCTGTGTTTTTTCTACAATTTACTTGCTTCATTAATGCCATTCGACTTTGTTCTTTTGTCGCAAAACAATAAAAATAATGAATTTTTTGTTGTTTCTCTGAGTGTAAGCGCACACAAAGTACGCAGACCACTTCAGACTCGCTGCTTTGGTTGCCAGCGGCAGCTGTTGTCTGCGGTTTTGCGAGCTAATCTGACTCTGACTCCGGCCGGAGGATGCGGATGCGGATGAAGGATGGCGGATGGCGGATGGGGACGCAGGACTCCGCCCGGCTGGAAGCACTTCAGCGGCACGTACGCACACAAACGCAACACTGAAGTTATTTCAACAAAATTGCCAGACAAAAGGGACCGGGGCGGGGATTGGTATTGGCATTGGAAAGGGGGGCCACACGACAGATACCAAGGCTCGTTGGCTGCGATTTAATGCAGCAAAAACAAGCAGAATAAAACCGATAAAGTCATCCTTCGTCCGTCGGCTGCTGGCTGAGGAGCCCTAATCCAGTCGAGAGTCGGCGCAGCCGTCATAAATTCAAACTACAATAAAAATTCAATAAAACAAACGATTTTGCCGTTCACGCCGCGTGGCCAAGACGCTCCGGCCATAAATGTGGTGCGAGAAATCGCACCAGGGAACCAGTAGCGGCAACACCACCATCGCACCACTACCCCGGCCCAGAAATCGCGGCACCACCAACACACACGCACCAAAAACAGAGCCAGAGCAACTAGTTGCGCCTTGTGTTGTTGCAAAAAGTCACACTTAAAACAAAAATTCAATACAAGGCTTGTGGGAAATCGTGGTATTCATTTTGCTATTCAAATCCCTTTGGTCAGAAAAATTATTTCCAAAATGGATTATTTTTTACAAAAAGATAGCTAGAATTTCGGGGAGTTAGTTTTTTAAACTACACATTAACAAATTTTAAAACTTAAATGAAAAAAAAACATCACAACTAGTATTCAAGTATTTTTTTCGCTTTATAAGGCTCTAGCTGCATTTTTCGAGGGCATATTAATTATTTTTAATTTTTTAGTTATGTATGCTGAACTTTATCAAAAGTTTATCAAAAGTTTTCAGTCTGTTTGTCCAAAATACGCATCCAAGTTATTTCCCTTCCAGGCAAATTTTGTAAGAGTGCATGGGAAATGTGGCCAAGGGAAAGGGTACGAAGGGGTAGGGAAATGGGGTGGGAAACTGGGTGGCTTGGGGTGGGTATGGTACCGCCCACAGGCAGACAGTCAAGTGGGGGCAATGCAACGCAAAACGCGAAGCGCGTCGCGTGATTTACATAAGTATGCACAATAATTATGAACAATAAAAAACAATTTGTTTGCTTATGACAGTTTTGGAACCATAAATAACAACAGCAACTGGCGCAGCGGTTCGAGTGGCATGTGGATGAGGGAAATGGTAGATGGAAAATGGGAAATGGAAAAGCTCGGCCGAGTGTGTGTGCGTGCGTGCGGAGCATGCAAATTGATGGGGCAGCCAAAGGGTTGCGCTCCATTTCGTTAGGTTCGTTGCGTATGTGGCGCAGCAAAGTATGCTACACTTTAAGTTTAAATGGGCAATTGCCCCTCTATGTTCCTGATGAAGGTGCGAGGCGTTGGGAATGGGACAGGGGCAGGGGCGACTCTATTCTATGGCTTGACTTGGCCATTAGTTGAAGCTGAGGTGTAAATAAACCACTGCCAATGGCTGTGACTGAGTGGGTCACCGGAAATGAGAATTCGCAGTTCATTCGTTACCGTCGCGCATAAAGTTATAACGACATTGGAAAAGTGGTATAAGTTCTATTTGATTTTGGGTAATAAGCTTTAAAATTTTATTTTTTAATACCCATATCTTTTAAGTTTATAACAATCTCATTTGATGTATATTTTCTTAACACTAATTCTGCATCTATTTCCCATATTATATCAGAATGGTCTCTTATATATACAAAAGCCATATGAACTATGTACATTATAGCTTATAAATTCCATATTTCTTTGTCTATTAATCAATTTTCAGGAACGTTAAAAAAATAGTAATCGTGGGGACATTTTTAATAAGCTTTTTATAAAAAACTTTAGAAGTAACTAGTCCAATTACATACATATTTCAAAATAGCACACAAAAATCTTGAATTATTTATGATTGTGATTCCGCAATCTGCTATCAAAAATCAGGTTCCCGGTGAAATGCCAACATGAAGTCATCATCAACGTGTCAATCAGTCCGCTATATCTCACTTTTGCCGCACACAATATTTCAGACAGGGGCCTTTCTGCCCAATTAAACCCCTTTGCCGTTTCTCACAGTGCACCAGCCCCCCGAGTTTCGGGTACCCCCCCCTTCTGCCATCCATCGCGGCATTCAGTTTTGAGTGACAGCTGCAAAGTTTGTTTTGCATTTCATATTTGCGAGCTTGTCTGCAGCCCCCCACTCAACCGCTTTACCCCAACTCTTTAGCAAGGCTCACTGCCAACTGTCACTTGACCGGCCAAAACCCGCGTCCTGCCACGCCCCCCTGCACCCGCCCCCAGCCGACGGGGCCAATAGAAAAGCTGGCAAACAAAATAAATGTGTAAATGTGAAGAAGCAAAAAACTGGCAACACAAAAACAAAGAGAAACAAAAATGAAAATGGTCAACAAATTAAAACGCGCCAAAATAAAAATAAAATTAAAATTTATTTGCTACCCAACGGTTGTGAAAAAATAAAAATAAAATAAAATACACATAACAAAAACGAAGGGGAGACGAGAAGAGGAGAGGAGAGGAAGGAAGGAGGAAAGGAGCAGCGACAAGAGCGAAATATATTGTAACGGGCCAAAAGCCAAACTTGGATTTAATTAAAATGTTTACCACAGTCATTTCATTTTCATAGCCAGCAAACATAAATTTTGAAGAGGAGAGCGTGTGCGAGCGAGAGGGTCGGGACCGCAGAGCGAAACAGCTGCAAGAAAATGCCAAAAACATTAAAGTTACCACACCGGACTAACGCACGAGTGGAAATTTTGATTGTTGCATTTTTGGTTTGGGGCGAAAACAATAAGCGATAAACAAAATAGGTTCAATCTGGAAGCAGGAATTGGATTTGCAGGTAATTAGTTCAAGCAGGCACAGCAACACACACACACACACACAGAGAGAGACGCATAGAGGCAAATTTATCCCGAATCCATTTAGTGGGATTATTTATAAGAAAACTCGGACCCCCATTCTTTCCACCCAAGGCAATCCGTTTTGCGGTTGGAGGCATATTAACCCCTTAACGTCCTGGCGGCCCTTAACCCCCTGCTGCCCCATCAACGCCCAAAAGGTCCCCAATAGGCCACCGCACATGTTGTCAAAAGCACAATGCTGAAACCATAAATTTATGTGCTTTCTATTGTTTTTGCCAAAGAAAGCGGAAGTTGTGTGCTCTTTGCGGTGCGCCTAGGAGCCATAGGGGGTGGCTAGGAAAATGGGGAATTGGGGAAAACTACACAGCAGCAAAACAGCAACCAAAACCAGAATGGGTGAAAAAGGTGTGCGCAAAGGGATTTCAATCAATTGTGAGGCGAACTGAGGCAACTGGCAGCCACGCAACAAAAACTCAAGCTCAGCTTCTGTTCCGTTCGGTTTGGCTCTGCCCTGAGCTACACTGCGCGAAAGCTTGGCAAAAAAATACAAATACAAATAAATACATATACAAATAAATAACTTAAGAAACAGCCAATTCTGTAACAATTCTGTGCAAAAAATTCACACAAGTAACTTAATAATAATATAACTTAATATTGCACTGTAAATTAGATTAAAAGATATTATCAACTCCATGAATTTAATTCACTAATAGGTTGTGTAAATATTAACACTAGATATAACGAAGTTTGTCTGAAATCTTATATAACATCTTTGTACTCAACAAGACTACTGCTGCAATGTGGCACAACCTTTCCACTTCAAACGCATAAACTTTATTTTCGGCAATGACATTAGCAAGACATTCCAACTCCAAAAAATGATGAGTTTTGGATTGAATTAAGACACAATGATTAAAAATCTTTATTTTTCCCTCAGCGTATCGTTTTGTTGGAAAACGCAAATTGCTATTTTGTCTGAACAGCAAACGAGATGGCAATTCACTGGAAAGCAGAGATACCCAGAGCGGGGCGGAAAGAGATGGGGCGACAGGCAGTGAGAGAGACGGCTAGATGGACCCGTAGAGCCTGTTGTAACACATCCCGGTCGTAGCATCATTTTTCATGCGCTCCAACAACTTTTGACAAAGGTCGGTCAAGCAAGTCTTAAAAACTTTGCGACAAGACAACGCACGTTCCGTTCCAGTCCCCCTTGCCCCCTTGACCCCAGGAGCCCTCGTCCTGCGAGGCCGCCTTTCGCTTAGTGAATTACGCCGGCTTTAAGGGGTTAAGGTTCAGCCCCCGAGGGCTACGGGTAACAGTTGTCGCTGTTTGCTCTTCGCTCTAAGCCGTAAATAATAATATTTGGAGAAGTTGCCAGCCAGGGCGAGAAACCAAAAAAGCGAACGCTTGA